TATCCACATTACTCTTGTGTCGTCCACTCCCCTACGCTTGCTGATTGGGATATAAAAGTAAAACTCGAAGGCCATAACTCAGCCAGGCCCTGTTAAGTTATATGAGGTGTCAGAAGACAACTTTCCCCTCTGTCCGATCAGAACGGCCTTCTCGTACTCAGAATACACCTGGAGCTGAGCTGCTGAGTGGAGGGAGGGGAGGGGAGGGGGGGGGGTGATCACCGAGGAACAAACAACAAAACTCTCTCTTCTCTAACATGAGCTGCCCTCTAATTTTCTTCAGACCCCTCGCTCACATAGAGCCAACCTGTCATTAACCTCGGCTCCTAATGGACAGGTGCTGAGGGACCCCAAGGTGCTGTGATCATATAGGGGACAATGATGATAACCCCCCACAACACCACAATTCTTTCTTTTCTTTTCTATACCTTAGTTTTGTTTTAATTTACTTTTTTGTTTTCTTCCTTTGATTTTCTTTTTCTGTTTTCTAGATTTTGTTCCCCTAGTTTTTTATAAAAAAATTTATCTCAACAGTAACTTGCTGTAGGCCCTGTTTACAGCAGGCCTGATGTGTGGTTTTGTTCACATTTGCTATGTAAAGACAACGATGGTAATTTTTTTTACAAAATACTTTTCTTAACATTTAGCGGACATGATTTGATCCATTTATTAATCATGTTTTTGTATTCCAGTTGTCACTGAAACCACATTGACAAAAGCAAACATCAATCAAACTTCTTAGAACTTATTCGATTTTTTAAACTTAACCCTTAACTGTCACCGTCCCGTATATGGGACGCCTAAGTTTACTTCAATATATTACAATTAAATCCTAATCTAATCATGACAAACTATATATCGTTGGAAAGGTCTAAGACTCCTAAATAGATAAATATATATTTTACCACTGTTTGTTGTTAAAAATTATGTAGGAACAGTAATAGATTAATTTATGACAATAGTGCACCTCAAAACATATACATCATAACAGTTCTGACCTTTGTCACAAAAAATTATTCTTCATTTCCTTTTTCCCTGTCACATGTTTTAGTAATCATCCGAAATCATATATCATTTGAAAGCTTAAAACCTCCAAATTCATCCTGTGAAAACCATTTTGAAATCAGACACTGCGTTACCATGCAAATCGTACTTTACAATCTTTTAGCGGGTTCCTCCCCCTTATTGGGAGGTGTCATATTCCAAGTCTTTTAGAATCAAAACTTTTCATAATCTTGACAAAATTCATATCATTGGGAAGATCTGAGTCTCAAGATTCCATATTTGGTGGTTATTTTGTCATAGAATTCAATGGAGTTTGAATGGCACCCGGTGGCTGTTTGTGGTATAACGCTTAAACAAAATTGCATAGGAGCCTAATTTTTTTAATATCAACTTCAAATTTGGAACACAACATATTTAGACACATGGCTTTAATTTTATAGCAATTTTGGATTAAAACATTTTATAAAATATTTATTTTATATCAAATAAAAATAGTGCAGTACGTTTTCTTTACACTAAATTTAAACTTCTATAACTTTTTTATGATTTCATTTTTTGAAATGATTTCACTACTGAATTAATCTGCAGATTGTCTTCTTTAAAAAGAGAAGCGTTCAAAAGCGTTTATGAATTATAACAATTTAAGTTTGAATAGTGCACTTTCACGTCTATGTTCATTTCTACAAAATGATGTTACTTTGCTTCTTGCCGGTTTTGCGACACTTTCAAAATGAACTGTCCAGTGAGTGGCGCTAAAAGCATGTTCAGTTCAACATTTTATGACGTTAGTTGTATGGACCGAGGCAGTTTAAAAATGAAATGTCCGGTCAGCGGCTAATATAAAAGGCTAATATTCAATCGTGTTTGAAAATAAGGAATCATTTTGTTAATAAATGCAAATATGAGATAAAACAATTACTGAAGACATGCCATTTTAGCTTGCTTCTACAAGTCTTTGAGCTTTTCTAATGTGACTCGAGTTTCGTGGGATTCGCACCGGAGCGCTGCACATCGCACTGCTGTACAAGGTGAGCTACTGAGCAAGTTTACACTCTAAAAAATGCTGGGTTAAATACAACCCAGTGCTGTATTTAACCCAGCATTTTTTAGAGTGTACTACATCAGAAAAGCCGCATATGCAGCTGGTTACGTGATGCAGACATCAAAATGTATTAGTTTACAAATAGTGCATGATGAAAGTGTTTTGAGGTCATATTGTTAAGGTTAGCAGGTTAAAGACTTTATTAATCAATATTTTCTGCCCCCTGCCACTACACTCTAAAAAATGCTGGGTTAAATACAACCCAGTGCTGGGTAAAATAGGGACAAACCCAGCAATTGGGCTGTTTTGACCCAGCGGTTGGGTTAAATGTTTAACCCCACCTTCTGGGTAGTAACCCAACCGCTGGGTCAAAACAACCCAATTGCTGGGTTTGTCCCTATTTAACCCAGCATTTTTTAGAGTGTAGTGTTTATTTAAGCTGGAATCCGCAGTTATTATGTATAGATATGTTTTTGGAGTTTTTCCAAAAAAATTAGGTAGAAGCTTATTTTTCCAATAAGCCTATTCACTTTTTTATTTGTATACTCTTATAGGTTTAAACAGTATGACCACATCAGTAGATTCTGACTTGCCGTTCTGTCCATTCACTTTTGTCGATGTTCTGAAAACAAGCTTGTTTCTGTAACCGTGTGTTTCCCCTTTTAGCTTGAGTGATTCAGACATCATCTTACAGCGGGAAATGAAGAAAGCCAATTATCATATAATCCACATGCTCACATGGGGCCTATAAATGAACAATTTGGGAAGAGCTGAAAGGGATTCCATTTGATATAGTCAGCGTTCTCAGAAGTGGATTAGGAAGAGGACACGCATGAGCCAGAACTGCATAAGCAATGTATTACCACTTCTGCTTAACAAAGAAGACACATTGTAAACATCAAATTCTGACAGTCAGGTTTCACAGCCAAGATTCAGTTACATTTGTATTACTCTCTGGATTTCTTTTGAAGTGATCATTTAAAGCAAATTTATGTTAGTAGGCTAGTGGCTCTTGACAGAATTTCATTAAATAGAAAACATTCTGAAATGGACTCCTTTTTTTAACCTGCATGGTCATACAGCTAGACACACGATCATTTACACTGATGATAGATTTTGATCTCTTTTGAGAAAAGCACACTGTTGTACAGTACTAAGACATGACACGTTAACAGTCAGAATCATTTTAATTGGCTGATATTCATATGCATTTCATTATTGTAGTGACATAGCGTGTATGTGTATAGTGTGATATAGTTATAGGCCTGTTGTGGCTGGTATTACTAACAGTGTCATGATTTGTGCAGTGTGGAATTTTACACTTTGGATTTGGTGACTGCTTCTTTTGTCTGCCTAGTCATGGATCTATTCATCAGAAGTGCAAATGAAGCAACTAGTAATTGCTGGGTTGCTGTGTTACTAACTTTTACGCCGGAGCTACCCGCAGACCATGAGTTTTTAATGCAGCGTAAAGGATAGTTTGTTGTATTTTGAAGTACCTAAGAATCAGAACCATTCAGTATTTTTTCTGTTGCACTTAATTGCAAATACATTTTACACGTTTTATTTTTGCTAATTATTATATAAATGAATGTTAAATGGAAAGAAAATTGTCAAAATGAAGTCATAATGAAAAAATAAAACCTCTTTGAAGGTTGATAGATTGCAAATATCCTTTTTATACTTATACTTTTTTATACAAAACTGAAAATAATTAGCAAGACCTTTGCTGCAAAATATATTCTGTAATTGTATCGATTCACATTTGCTATACATCTATAACATTTAAATTAGGTCAAATTAGCACAGAATAATTTCTGTTGCTGCATCCTGCAATCACATCAAGAATCCACCAAATATCCACATGAATTATGAATCTCAGATGTTTAGGAAAATGTTGCGCTGAGTTTTTGTGCTATATAGTGGTTAGAGAAGAATGAGCCCTGTTTTATATACATGAAAAAAACACACATGACAAAAATGCTTTAGATCAGTGAAGATTTATATTATAATTTACATTTTGTCAAAGCTGTACTTAAATAGCTACGTAAACCAGTATGTAAACAAAGACGGTCTTTTTTTTCTTTAATTTAAAGCTGAAGATGAGGTGTAGACTTTGGTCATACTTTAGGACAGAAAGTGTATGAGATACAGTACTACTACCTCACAGCACATGTTGCTGATAAACTGTCCTACTAATATCGCTGCACAAAATCATATTAAAAACAAAGAAAAAAAGTACAAACATAAGACAAAAGGAAAAAGAACCAGTGCATACAAAGGCCAAAGTGATGTGGAGTGTCCATAAACATCATCACAGACCTGCAGAGCAGACAGTTGCAGCAGCTCACGCTGCACTTGCACACATCTCTGAAAATAAACGAAAGAGTTCACTTTGGTTATCAATTCCACATTCTCATTTCTTTATCGTTTTGGTTTCTGTAATGTGCCACACATAAGTAAGAAAATGCAGTGTCAGTGTCACACACACACACACACTATGACATTTGAGGTAACAGTTGTTGGTAATATATAATATGCCCTTTTTGTATTCATTATGTTGTGTAGAGCTCAAAATTAAGAGAATAAATGTTATGTAAAACACGTACACATAGATATGTAACCTCTGACCTTTCCTATAGTTAAAAAATGCCTTCAACAAAAAGGTCTACCTCTGACTTCAAAGCCCACATTTAAAATAAACCTGAATGTGGTGAGCTCTTTGCAGTCACACATGAAATCACAGTCAACTGGGACACTAGTTACAGTTACTATCCACAAAAGAATAAAGCAAAAGAAAATATATAAAACAGTCAATTACAATGATTTAACCAGTCATTGTAAACATTATTTCCACGTATTGGTTGTGAAGGATGATGCGTTGAATAATAAATTAAATAGATTACGTAACAAACTAAAATAAACACCAAGAAGAGCAAATAATATTAATAACAAATATTAATAAAATAATATGATTGTCTTTTTAATTTGTGTAGGACATACTGGACCACTGATGGACTGGAACGATGTCTGTTAGCCCTGAGTACTCAAGTCCCTGAACGTAAAGGCCACAGCCTGATTCTTTGAGAAGAATTATGTATACTTGTGGCTGTCCATAACCTGGCCAAGAGAGCTAGTCAGGTAAATGGTCAGCAATCCTCTAGTTGGCTAGGTTTCCATGGCCTCCTCTGTCTCCTTTTTAACCTTGACAGGTAGGAGCTGGATAGGGCTGCTGCAATGAACCTTGATGACAGAGTCCTCACTGCCATGCTCGTTCAGACGATATATAGATAATGCAGGTGGTGGGGGGTGCAGGTCTCCTCCAGTGCTTCCTTTGTGATAAGACGCCTTAAAATCCATCTCCTGCCAGAGCAGGCCAAAGATCTGGTTCTCTACCATGCTCTCCATGTCAAACCCTTCCATTTCTTCCAGTCTGTCTGCATTATCGCTGATGTCAAAGCGTTCAATTTCCTCATTCACGCGGTTGAGTTCATCCAGGCTGCAGCTGGGAGAAGGAGAGACCGCTAAGCAGTAGCCTTTGAGGTGGAGCCGCAGGCTGCTAAGGTGAATGTAGTTGCGGTGGCAATGCGGGCATTGGTGTGGATGTTCTCGTGTGTGTAGCCGTTTGTGCAGCTTGAGGTGGACAAACTGTGTAAACTTTGCTGGGCAGATCTTGCACTGGTAGGGCTTTTCACCAGAGTGCAGTCGCAAATGGGTCTTCAAGTTGCTAGTGCTGCTGAAACGCTTGTGACACACCTGTGAAGTGAAAGCAGAGTTTTAGGATCTCATTCTTATTGGAGCAGAAACCTTACAAATGTACTCAGAAAATGAAATGACTGGTTACAACTGAAATTGTTGGTATTATTTACTTGGCACTCATGGGGTTTCTCTCCTGTGTGGACCAAATAGTGTTTCTGCAGGTGGGCCAGCTGAGTGAAACCTTTATTACAGGTCTGACACTTAAAGGGTCGTTCACCGCTATGGACTCGCAGGTGCACCTGAAAATAAAGACAGGTAAGCTAGGTACTACCAGGAGTGTTTCTAACAGATGTGTAGCACACATATGCTTTTCATCAAAAAGGAGGCACAGTTGTCTTGCTTACCTTGAGATTGGAAAGTTGACCAAAAGTCTTGGTGCAGATATTGCACTCATACTTGATCTTCCCGTTCTGCTTCTTAAGTGGGTAATCTAGAGTTTTGTAGCCTGTGGAACCTTGGTTCATCTTGCTTAGATTGATCGCCTTATCCTCCGAGCGGCTGGTACTCAGGATTGCTGAGGTAGGCTTGGTAGGAACATGTCCGGTAGAGGCTGCAGAGCCGGCTGGTGGAGACCCACCAGCGGGAGCGTAGGGGTTCCCATGCCCATGGACTGGTTTGTCTTTCAGAGAGGTGGCTGCAGAAAAGGCACTGGTGGCCGCTGGGAGCAGGATGTCCCTGGGAGCCGGAGAGTCAGGTGGAAGCAGAAATTGTCGACTAACCTCGGACGGAAGCATGCCAGGTGGGAAGGGTACATGAGGGGGTACCAATCTGCTATAAAAGGGGTACATGTGTGGAAATATACCGCCCAAAGTAGGTGGCCCACTCAGACTACTAACAGGGTAGTGGGGCATGAGGTAGCGTGAGTAGTGCGGGTTAGGGTAGAATGGCATGGAGCCTGCTGGTGAGTAGCCTGAGTAGTGGTTCAGGCCACGACTGTAGAGTGCTGGAGAGAAGGAGAGAAAGGTGTCTCTTGGCTCAAGGGATGCTGGTGTGGGACTGCTTTCTGGACTGCTCTCCAGACTGCTGTGTGCTGAAGGGCTGGGTGTCACTGAACACTGTCTGTGGGAGCGGTTCGGGAGGCCAAATACTGTGGTAGCCTTTAAAAAGTCTTCGCTTAGGGAAGGGCGGAGCGGATAGACAGCACTGGGGTAAAGAGGTCGGTCTGGGCTGTTGGGGCAGCGGGGACGGGTGGGAAGTGGTCTGCTGGGTTCTTGCAGTACGTCTTTCAGAATCTCTGAAACGCTGTGCTCTCTTTTCCCTGGGTGCTTGACTTCAGTCACTTGCTGTGTGGCTTCAATCAGGCTCTGCTCTGTTTACACACAAAAAACAAAATGTTAATTTTCTCACTCATTTACACTCACTGATACAGGTCTGTTTGCGATATTTGTTACATGGTCACAATCCCAATTCCAGTTACTGTTATTTTGAGGGACACAACAGTTCCATTGTCCCAGATGATACAGCTATTCTTAAAGCAAATTTCAACAAAGCACCCCAGTGGTTCACTTAGTGTGACAGTTTGACAAATTATCCTGTGTTAGGGTCTACAGACAGGATGTGAGGCCTGACAGCCACCCCGGTCAGGGTGGGATGGATGCACTGATACTATCTAATGGGGTTCACTGAGTGGGTGTGGGGGGACTGATGGCGTCCTGCTAATAGGGATCTACATGCCCAGATCTCTCCCTTTTAGAGTCTACAGAGACCTGGGATGGATTTTATTTAGTGACTGATCTTAAAAGAGTTCCCAAATTTCTGCACAGCGCCAAACTTAAAAGCTTTTGCAGAATTCACAATAATAAAAATATGAATAAAACATACATAGAGTAATATAATTATCAAATTTAGGCTAAATAGACCCATTTTAAACCCCTCTGACCCTTCCACCCACTCACATTTGATGAAAGGTGGATAGCTAATTAGAAAATTACTTTCCCATATATCTTAAAAGCTTCACTGTTAATCTCCTTCAAAAGGATGTAAACAATTAAATAACTTCCTGCTTCCTGTTCACTGAACTATAACGGGGTTAATTGTGTAGAATTCAAGTGTGAATATGAGTGTGTACATGTTAAGTATCCCTTAAAAGATGTACCAGACTCTCTACTCCCCTATCCCTCTGTCCCGGCAGCTACGTGTAAACAAACCGAGAGGTTATCAGTTCTCCCCTCCCACCTCTCTTCCACAGATAGTACAAGTTCTGTTCCTCCCTAGAGAGCTTGCCAAAAACAAACAGCAGGCGATCACAGAGATATCAATCTGTCAGCACAGTCCTGCCACCAGGAAGTTCAACTAGTCAATGGAAGGTTTTTTTCTCTTGTGCGTGCTCTTACTAGCCTCTCCTTACTCTTAAAGTGGCAAACAAAAGATGAAGTTCCTCCCACACCTCCTGAGGCAGGATGACAAAGGAATGAAGGGACTCAAGATACATGTTGGCTGAATGTGCTGTCATCGTACACCAGACAGGACTAGTGAAATAGAATGTCAGTGTCTAAAACAGTTTCAGGTGGGAGGCTGTGTCAGTCAGATCAGCCCATTCTATTAGATTGAGTCATACACCAGGTTTCTTTAGGGTTGCTACTGTTCCGCTTCGAGATGCAGGGGGTATTATTCCTTCTTAAGGCTGCAGGTAGAGGGGCAGCAGACATGAGTGAGTATGTGTAATTACAGACTTGTCTATGTGTGTGTGTTGAGCTCAAGGGGTCGGCTACATCCAGTGGCCCCAGGGTATGCGCATGACTCTGGGGAGAGGAGTCACACTGACTGGCCTGTTCACCTACCTGTAATCACCCCCTCTCCTCCGTATCAATCTTTCCCTCTGTCTCGTTTTTTTTTAGCTTAGAGACTTTTATTGCTGGTTTAGTATGTTGGGCAAAACAAACCTTAGTCTGCACTTTAATGTTTAAAGAACGTCCTCAAACACCAATGGCTGCAACATTACACTCCTATTCTTTGTAATTAGTCTGAACAAAAACATTGTTGAGGAAGAAAGGAGAGAAATAGAGTAGTTCAAAGAATTCCAATCTGAACAGAGATGAAAGGGAAGAAGCTTGTGTGTTTGCACACTATATATCTCTATAGTGGGAAAGGCATGTTTTTCTTGACTTAAACTGAGATAACAAGGAACAAATATATGTCCAGGTCTATGGCAAATAGAGAGATGTCACATATATGTATTTTTGTGAACTTACTGAGTTTTTGCATCATGATGTCCCCAGAGGCAGGGTAGTTGAGACGGCAGGCAAACTCAGGGCAGTACCACACCAGTAGTTCCTGATCTGCAGGTATGGCCTTCACGGTGTAGAAATAGATGTTCATGCCGTTTTGGCAGGCAGCAAGGTTCTGTTCCTGCTGGGAATGTGCTGGATTCACATAACGCATCCAGTTACTCTTCTCCTCGTCCAGTCCGTCCACAAAATGATGGAACTCTCCATTTGAGTATATCTAGAAAATACAATGAAGAAAATTAAGACCAGATCTTTTTTTATTAGAATAACTTTCTTTTTCTTTATTACAATGTTCTATTCTCTAGTCCTCCAGTGTAGTTCTCACGTCTTTGAGACAGACAAGTGGGGTTTGCTCTTATAAAGTCTCACAGTGAGTCAGCAAACACCCCCACACTAATATGCACAGTCTCAGAGTATCTCCATCCAGTTCTCTGATGCATTCTTAGGTCTCGTCTGAGGTATGGTAGGGGGACGCCTGTCTCAGTATGTTGTTTATACTAAGCTTGCAAGTTCCAGGAACACTTTCAAGATGTCACAAACAAGGTTTCCCTCAGAAACGTCGACACTACACTTCCTCTAGCACTTTTTCTCTTGAAGAGCTAACCAGTAACTCTGTAATCACCTGCCCTGCAGCATATGGTAAAGGACTGACAGTAACACAGGAAACAATGATATCAGTGCTGTGACTAGTAGGTAAAGACCAGAGTTGTTCCACTTGGGGATCTTCGATTTGGCAACAATATGGAAGTGACAGAAAATAAGTCAACACAAAACCAGAGCGGGTTGACTTTGCACTTTCTCCGTGACGACAGCTGTAAACGACAGCTGCAAGTCACAGAGGAGTGAGAGAAACGTTTCGTTTGAATTGTTTGTGGCATTTAATGGTAGTGGCAACTGTGATGTTGCAATGGGATTTCTTTTTTCACTGGTCAAACACTTTGAATAACTGCAATGACTCAGATAATCTATAAAGCGGACATATTCTTAAGAAAGATATATTCACAGCAGCAGAACTGAAGAGTCATTCAGCACTTCCTGTCCCACACGCTCAGAGCGCTGCACAGTCAAATAAAGATTACACTACATGGAACGTATCAGTGCTCTCTCAGTCACCAGTGCAGCAATGCAGTTCACAAAACAGCAGATCTTTACTCAGCAGTTTCTGATTGCTCTGAGAATATAAAGGCACTTCTTCTACATAACCATCTAGCCCATGATGTCACATAGGAAGTCAGTCAGTGGAACAGGAAGTGACCCGGTATTGTTTTTCTTGTCCGCTCCTACTTTATCGAAAGATTCTGAAACAAAACAACTCACCCGCCAGAAGTACTTCCTGTTCGCATCTTTGGGGACATTTTCTGCAGTGTAGCTTTCTCCCACAAGGGGGCCAAACCGTGTGCCTTTGGGGATGTATTCTCTGCTTACTACACCAATAACCTGGTTAAAAGAAGTAGGAAAATAGGTGGTTAAGAAAGAGGTAGATGAAGTTTAAAGTACAGTATCTTAGGTTCACAATTCGATCATTTTCTGAAAAATAATTCATTAAATTAGCTTGACAGTATTAGCAAGACAGAGTGTGTGTGAGAGAGGGGTAATTAATTGACAGTCAGCCAGATGTGCGCACTTGAAAGACATGGAGCCATGCCTCTCTTCACCCGTCACCTCTCCTGACAGCCACAGGAAGCTAAAGGTCATCAAGGTTGTGTCCTAAGGCTGAGAGAGACTATTCGTTTGTCCCGTTTCACCTCTTATTATCCGCACAGACACTTCTGAGGAGGTGATCACCAAAGCTTAACCTCTCTTCACAATACCGAATCATACAGGTGCTTTATTTGATAGAACTATTAATATATTTAGGGCCACACAGAATTTATAGTTTCGATTGATTCTGCAAAATGGATTTACATAAGCAAATGTACTAAACAGAGATGGGAATTTTAAAATCAAAGCCACAATATTTAATATTTTAAATGCCTGTGTTTGCATCTAAAGATTACTACAACTCGACCCTTCTCCTACCTGATGATCTCCTGACCCAAACTCCTACTTTTCAACTTGTTAAACGCTCTCCCCATCAATACTCTCTCATCATCATAATCTTCCTCTGTGAAACACGTGACTTCACTCACTCTCTTCCTCTTTGAACCTCAGGTGTTTCTTGAAGAGAGAGGGTTAACTCTTTATCACCTCATAAGTACATGCTCATAAAAGAGACTCGCTCTTTTCCTCACAGGAAGAGATAAGACAGACAGAGCGACTGATGAAAAAAATCTATAGCCCTGTTCCTATTGATCTATAAACACTTTCAAAATAAGAGAGACTTAATCCTATTCAAAGCTTCTGCCGTCATTAGCGCTAGAAAGGTGGAAAGTAGTGTGTTTGAGGATTGTCATGGACTCTGGCATGACATGGCAGTCTGCTGCAGATAAAACAGGTTTGATAGATGGCACTCGGGTGCTTGAGGAGCTTGTCATGTGGTGCTCTGCTGTATAGATGTTTGTGTTAGCTGAGTAACAATGTGAGCTAGAAATTATTAAGCACGCAGACATAGACAGGGACTTTTTTTGTTCAACAAAACAAGTTTAAAAACTGGCCTGACAGTGCTGATAAAGAAGATTAATGCCAGTTTTGTGATCAGTAGGTGCAGCTTTATGGAGATGCTGTTTAAACAAGAATCACAACCATTCGAAGTTCTGCTTGAACCCGCTTCTTGCTGTTTGATAATGTGACACTCTGAGGCAGGTTTGCAGATTTACTGTCAGTACACGCATACAAGCAGACAACAATTATTAGCAGATGGCATGCAGGACTGCAGTTGTAACCCGATGAATCTCGTGGCACATTTCAAAAAGGAAGCCTCGAGGCCATGAGTACATCATGCGTAATGCCGTTGCATATGTGATGGTGTGTGAGCATCGTGTCATACCTCTTTAGAGTCTGCTGGGTGTTTGAAGGCCAGGTTTCTGGGTAAGGACGCCTCGGCCCGGGTGAGTTCTGTGTTCTCTAGAGGACCCTCCCAGGTGTGATCTTTTACGGTGTACGTGCATTTCTCCTCAAACTCTTCCTCCGTCCATTTTGTCATGTCTACATCCTCTACATCCATCTTGAGCTCCTCATTGTCCACGGCGTAGGGTGCTCCCTCAGTAGTCAACATGGCCGAGCTGTGATGAGAAGCAGCCTGAGAAAAAGAAAAAGCATTAGAATTGAATGACTTATCAGATCTGAGAACTAGAGAACTAAACATTATCTTAGGAAAGGGTAAAGGTTAAACTACGTAAATGATCTAGTTGCTTTAAAACGTTCGTGCTGCACAAATGTTCATTTATACAAAAAAATTGTAATTAATTACAATTTAAATATTTTTGCCTAAATTAGAGCTTAATCGTTTACACAACATTAAAAAGTAAGAAGTTTCTTTCTACACAAGCTGAAGTGCTCTTAAAGTAAATAAAAGACAACAGCCATGCCGACCCGCTCCGTAAGGTCAGAACTGATCAAAGTCTCTCTTCTCATGTGCTACTCTTCATTTTTGTCTATCAACATGAGTCGAACCCTCTCCCTGTTTTCTTCCCTGAGTGAAAAAATAGTCACAAATGGAGGAAAACAGAGGAAGGAAGTCCCGTCTACATCTGAATGTAGCTAAAATTGGAATCAGAGTGGCAGAGCAATGGAACCATCAATCCATCCCAGAGAATGTGTGTGTGAGAAATAGAAACAAAAGAGGAAAAACTTTGACGCAAATTGATACAGCCAAAATGAAAAAGGCAAAATATGTAGTTACCTGTTCAGGACTAAAACTAAACTTCTCTGAGAATGTTTAATTAAATCTCTTAAAATGATTAAAAGTGTTTTCGTGTAATTTAAAAGTACATTTAAAATCAAACTAAAAACTTCATTTAAAACTATTTGTTCTTATAATTACAAATGTCTGTAGTTTGTTTTTATTTAAAGTTTACAGAATTAATACAATTTATGTTTAAAAGCTGATTTGTGAAAAAGCTGATTTGTGATGAATATAAATTGTAGTTGAGCATTGTCTATTATACTAACATTTTATATATATATATATTTTTAAAAAGATCAGAAAATAGTTATGTTTTTGTTAGAAAGAATTGTGTGCGTAGGACAGCTGTAGAACCAAAACTCATAATGAAACTGAAAAACTCCACATTAACAAACATGGAAATCAGATGTATGCATACTAAATATGCACGCACAATATAAAACTATATATTATGTTTGATAAGAAAAAAAAATACTACTTTTAAGTGAAATCTTAAAAAAAAACATTTTTAGTTTAAATTTAATAAAACTATAAACTAGTATTAAATACAGAAATATTTTTTCTAAGAATTAAATACAGAAATTATTTTCTAAGAATTGTTTTAAATACTAAAATAAATTAAAATGCCTAAATTATCACAGTCAAGAATTTTAACTTAAAAAATAATGAACTAAAAAGCCCCAATAAAACTGTATTTCTATACCTCAAAACAATCACACCACATACAATTAACCACCACTACATAACTGAATAACCACTAAATATTTCATTTATGAAATAATAGAAACAATCAGTTCCATTGTAAAAAGCATTCCCTGCTTTACACAGAAATACATGCAGAACACACAAAAACTGAGTTTAGAGAAATGTCACTTACCAGGACGCTCTGGTCCCAGCCACACATAGAGGCTGTGTGTGATCTCTCCCCTGAGTGTGTGTGTATATGTATGGGACAGGTGCAGCTCACAGTTCTCCTGTCTTGTTCCACTGCTAGTCCAGATGGTAAGTGACTTCTCCTGCAAGTGCCTGAGATTGACTGACTGCCTGAGCAAGTTTGTCTGACTTGTTGAAGGCACTTTGGCCCTGCCCACTATCTCCTCCTGCCTTAGTATCACTGACTCCGCCTCCAGAGTACATGATCTAACAATTACCCCACTGCTACACACACACATTATTGCAGAGAAAATCATTAATAAATAATAATAAAAAAAATTGTGCACCAACCACCCGAAATTTCCTTTATTTTGCCTTAAAATATTCTTCTATTAAAAAGTTTATACTGTATTCAAATGTACTTTCTAAATAATCCTTTTATAAATATAAATTTTAATCAGTGTGCACTTAATTTTTTCATTATATTATAGAATCCATTTTTTTTGTAATGATCAAAACAGAAATCCAAAAATGATAATACTATATTTTAATTTTATTTCAATTTATACTGTTTTATAAACATAGTCTTTGAATTATTGAGACGCACAACACAAGACTGTTTTGACCCAAACTGCCAAAGCTACGGTCTTGTTTGAAGAGGAAAGTGAACATGTTGATGCGTCTTCCCCTCACTCTCATCCTGTGAAGGAAGGACGTCCTGTGACGGTGACTCGATGACTAATGCCGTTTACTGGGAGCTGACTGACGTCCCTGTTCCTCTTTTATCCCCCATTTCAAACTCTTTCCCACAATACGTACCCTCTCCGGTGCATTATTCATTCTTAAGAGCACTCCTACAAACTCACATTCTGGGTTCTTACATGTCGATAATTCTTAAAATCAGAGAATCTTCTCTTGTATACATTTCTCTTTCAATAGGAGAATATGAAGTAGTAATGAAGGAGTCTTAAAGGAAGAATGCCTGCCCCTCAGTAGACATACTCAAAAACACTCATTACACACAAAAACACTCTCACCCACCCGAAATTCAGCTGGTGACAAAGAGCTGACCACATCAGTCGCAGCCTACTATTTCCTGGCAGCAGACTACCCAGAAGATTGTTGTAGCCCCAAGGGCTGCCCAGAACCCACTCAGCCCACAACCCGCCTCAATCTGGTCCACAGCTGTTTACACTGAAACCCACTCAATAAGAAGTCCAGGAAGGACCAGCATCAAAACATTGAGATTCACCTTTAAACGAAAGAGCTGAAACGGGGACCTGCCAGCAAGCTGGATCCGAGAGAAGAGAGTCTGTCTCAGCCATTCCCAATAAGATCCACTTTAAGAGACTTCAAGCCCAAAAAGGGCTGAACCCTCCAGGACTTGATCAGGCACATTCTCTTTCTCTGGACAAGCTGAGGCCAGGGGGCAGGGAGGACTCTCTCAACTCAAATGGACCTTTTTACTGTCTATATAAAGGGTTTAATGTGGCCTGAAAGAAAACCAGCTAAACAATAGCGGGCAGAGGAACATCAACAGCGCTGTTAGTTTTACAGACAGCTCATAACATCCCCACACCGCAGAGGAAGATACGAAGTGCAGAAACTTCTTGCACCATAAATAGAACTGTTCCGATTTGAAATAAGGAATGGCAAATTTGTGCAGTGTAATTGCTTACATCCTTAAAGCTGCAAACATAGAAGTTGCTGACGACCACATCCAATCTGCCGCTAGTCCTCAGCAGCCAGAGACTGATATGTAAAACCAATGTTGTTTTTTTCATCTAATTTCCTTCTCTCAACCAACAACACATCCCTTCTATAACAGCGTAAACAGTGTTATCTTCTTTAAAACGTTTAATCAGGGCTCTCTCTCTAAATAGAATAATTACTTAGTTAAAAGAAAGCTTATGTACATTTCCTTTGCTTGTGTGTGGCTGTTATTCTAAGCACATCCCACCACAACTGAAATATTAAGCAAAGCATATTGAGCCATGGCACCTGGATTGAACCGAGTCTGAAGGTTCGAGTGTGTGTGTGTGTGTGTGTGTGTGTGTGTGTGTACACACATGTGCTAGAGAAGCTGATCTGCACGTGTGCCGCACGTTCTGCAGATGACACCCCTCCCAGCCCTTTTCATGTGGGGTAACGGGGCAATAGAGCTCTAATCCCTGCGCTTCCTCAAACCAGCCATCTGGAGATATGTCTGTCTCCTTACAACATTTACCACAGAGGGGGCGGCGTGGTGATTAATACTATGACCAGACAGAGACTATCTAAACTAAAAGAGGACCATGCTAAATTTGGCACGTGTTATTAAACTGTTTATATTAATGATTAAATTCTCATCAATAATACATAAACCCTTTACAGTGACAGTGGCTTGAGGGTTTGCTCACATGACACACAGAAAAGAGTTCTGACCTAAGAATGAAAATTCAGGGAAATAAAAAATCAGCTCCACAACAACTGACAATGACTTAATTTATAAAGATCAGATTGTTCATTCCATAAGGATTGTTACACTTAATACAATTGCAATATATACATGGAAATTGTAATATTTTATATCATTCCAGTTGATTCATTTATTTTGACAGAATACAACAAATTTAAAGTGATATTTCTTTTCCTCTTCTTTGTCTTCTTTTACTGAAAAATTTAAACTGAACTGAAAATCGAAAGAAATTGCTAAAGAGAAACCAGGGACAGAAACATTACATTTCGGAGAATTTATTCAGTTATTCTAGATATCTTTATAAAGTAAAAGGAGGATTGAACAGTTTTAACTGTCAGGAATATATGTAACACACATTAAGAATCATTACAAAATTAAGACTGCACATTCACTTATTTAGTGACATTTATATCTAGAAATATAATAATGTATTTAAAAAAAACAACAAATTAAATAATGTATTAGAATTTTGTCTACACTTGTGAGAGACTTGCTATAGACCATATTTAGACACATCTTAAGTGATGAAAAATATACGATCATTTGAACAAATCAAGAAAATAAAATGTGTCCATATCATGACTTACTGAAGATTACATTTAATATGATTAGTTTGTTGACTAGACACAATAATACAATTAATTATAGATATATACTTTTTAAGTACATTTATAATAAATGAAAATCAGTTTGTTTTACCTGCTGGCTTCCATAAACGTCTGTGAATGATAGCGATGGTTTAATCCTACAGATATACACAGAGTTCAGAGACACACACACACACACACACACACACACACACAAACCTCCACCCAAAGCAGCCTCATTAGGATTAACTGAAGACATTAAGAAAGCAAACAGTTCAGCAGGAGAACAAAATCCAAGGTAAAGCAAAAGTTTAAGGTATTTAACTTCCCATTCAGCTCCAGTGAAAACAGTAATCAAAATCTCATCAATACCTGGTATAATGCATTAAACATTATATGTAATGTTACATTTTTGCCCCAACTTTTGCATACATTTTCAGTATTATCGTTGTTATGATGACGGCCTATTTAAATCCAGCCAGACATTTGGGTTTGACTGTAGTTAACTGAAATGTGTTTGCTGTAGACACACAAACATTCGCACAGGCATTAACTGCAGCGCTATGCTGAGCTGATAATAGTGTCCATGTTGAATGAGTTTGCCCCACCAGCACACTTCCCCTCCTTTCTGCGTCTCAGATCTTTACACGAAACAGACATAGTGTTCTTGACCACCCCCATACACACAAAAACTCAAACATCTTACCATCAAAGCAGTAGAGAAAAGTGTGTAGGATGAACAAAGTCAGACACACTGTAAGAACACATGCTCTTCTCTTTACTCTCCAGTGACTTCATCAGCATTCAGGGGAAAATGCTTTAAGAAAACCATTTAACCTTTTAATACGATCTGATTAGCAAAAGATGATCAGAAAAAGAACTGCCGTTATCTCTTATCATTTATCTCAACACACACATACAGTGAGTAGGGAAGTCCTTTGGCCCGTCATCACGCTGTGAGTGTGTGTGTGTGTGTGTGTGAGAGAATGTTAGGAAATATTTAGTTTGGATCTCTGCCACAAAAGTCCTGCAAAAAGCTGCCAGATGTCTGTGCACCTCCACCTGCAACATGCAGTTAAGAGAGAGAGAGAGAGAGAGAGAGAGACAGAGAGAGAGAGAGTGTGTGTGTGTGTGTGTGTGTTTAACAGTGTGCACATGTGAAATGAATTCGCAAAAAAAAAAAAAAAATGTAAAACACTTTTTTAAGTGAACATATGTAATCTATTAAAAATAGCAATTAAGAACAACAGAATTAATCTAAAATAAATATAATAACAGATTTATTATCGCTTTGGAAGTATTATGAAGTGACCTGTATTGGATATATGAAAACGAGAGCATCAGATAGGACATCAGGGCGAGGTACAGTAGAACTAAAATAAAGCTATTTGATTTTGACTGAAAGATTCAGGGTCACTGCCTGTTTATTGTAGGTCAAATAATAGATCCATGTGTGAGAAAACACATATCACTTGTTATATGGATCAGGCGCCTTGAGACAAATCCTCATGGTAACCAAATATGATGGCTTATATATGGTTACATATGAATAAAGGATTTAAAGTACTGCAGTTTTCATATGTATGATTATTTGAGTATCCCTGCTTACCAGACAGCTTTGTTATAGAAACTGTCACAGATATGTTGTCTAGCGCAAAATAGCTCTACATGTTCTGAATGAAACTCCTGTCAGCGTGTTGTGTTCAATATCCTGACTGTTTAATGATACATGTCACATGTTTAGTATAACTGTTACTCACCTGGTGTAGATAGTAGTGTAGATAGCATTAATCACCTTAAAATGACATATGATGAATTTTTGGGATCAGAATTGCATGTAAGATGGAACAAGTGATGCATATGACAGGTGTGTGTATGAGTGTATGAGTGTATGCTTAATCAGCATGCTCAAAACAATGAGTCTATTTAAGCCACTGCTGGCCCCTAATGAGAGATCACTCACACACACACACACACACACACACACACAGTCTGGTCAGCTATCCTTGTGGGGACTCTCCATAGGCGTAATGGTTTTTCTACTGTACAGACCGTACATTATATTGCCCTACACCAACCCTACCCCTAAACCTACCCCTCA